GCCAATGCCTTCTCCGCAGACATTGTCTCGTGTCCTCCAGCTCCCTCACTGGTCAGTGAGGTTACATAGAGTTCACAGAGGATGCAGACTCACTCAGGGGGTGGAGCAGAGAATCCAGGTCTGTCTGACTCCAAAACCCACGCTCCTCTGCGGAGCTGGGGAAGGAAGGTGGGAGATGGGGAGGACAGTGGCTGGGAAGTTTCCCTGGAGGAAGTGGGAAGCGAGGAGGGGGTCAGAGTTCCCAGGGAAAGGAAGTGCTCCTGGAAAAAGGATCAGCACAGCAAGGCGTGAAGTTGTTGGGCAGTGCTGTGCTGGGTGTTTCTGAGAGGTGGCCTGGGAGTTAGGTGGCATTTAGAGGCCATGGGTAGAAGTTTTCCTGTTGCTCCCCATCAGGGTCTGTAAGGGAGATGGTCAGAAACCCAAGCGAACAACCCAGAATTCATGGGCAGATGGAGGCTTGAAGCCGGGCCAGGGCCCCAACCTCTGGCTCCTTGTGCCAGTCCTGGTTTGTTCCACTTCCAGGCTTTTGCACCTTCTCTTTCCTCTGTAGGAAATGCCCCCTTCTCAGGAGACACAAGAGATGTGGGAAGATCCCCTGGGTAGGAAATGGCAACCCACTCCAGTATTCTTGCCTGGAAAATTCCATGGACAGAGGAGCCTGGTGGGCTACAGGCCGTGGAGTCACAAAGAGCCAGACATGGCTGAGGGTGCACACTCTGAGCATGACTGTCCATCCACACTTTCTACCCAGAGAGTTCCTGCTTACCTTTCAGGGCAAATGTTATCTCTTCTAGGGTAGACTTCTGGGTTCACCCAGTTGGAATCTATTCTAACATTTCATGTTTTAGAAAAGTGATATGGCTTTTCCAGTAGTCATGTATGGATGTGAGAGATGAACTATAAAGAAAACTGAGCACTGAAGAATTGATGCTTTTGAACTGTGGTGTTGGAGAAGACTCTTGAGAGTCCCTTGGACTGCAAGGAGATCCAACCAGTCCATCCTAAAGGAAATGTCCTGAATATTCCTTGGAAGGACTGATGCTGAAGCTGAAACTCCAATACTTTGGCCACCTGATGTGAAGAACTGACTCATTGGCAAAGACCCTGATGCTGGGAAAGATTGAAGGCGGGAGGAGAAGGGGACAACAGATGATGAGATGGTTGGATGGCATCACCGACTCGATGGACATGAGTTTGAGTAAGCTCCAGGAGTTGGTGATAGATAGGGAGGCCTGGCGTGCTGCAGTCCTTGGGGTCGCACAGAGTCAGACATGACTGAGCGACTGAACTGAACAGCATGCGTTCATCTTCATAACAGCCCTGGGTGGCAGGTATCATTATCTACCGCTTTACAGATTAAAAAAATTCAAGCTTAGGGAGGTTAAGAGACTTTGCTGAGGATGCACAGCTAGTGGACGGGGAAGTGGAGATTCAGACTCAAGCCGTTCTGAGTGCAAAGCCTGTACTGCCTTGAGTCATCACCAGTCGTGATTGTCACTAGCAGTGGACTGTCAACCCTAGGGAGCATTCAGGGTCTGTGTCTTAGCACACTATAGCCTGGACTTCCCAGAGTGTTGGCACTGAGCCATATACGGAGCTGACACTCTCCAAAGATCCAAAAGTTGAGTTCGTGGGGCCAGGCCTTTCCTGGACATGTGGATGGAGAGGAGGGTGAGGGACAGCTCTCACTCACTCTCAGCAAGAATCTGGTGAGAGACTGATCCCACCTGCCCAGCCCCCTGCAGGCCATCGCTGGTCAGGAGAGTAGACACTTCAGTCTACACAATGAACTGGGCTTGGGCTGACCCAGACCCATGAGGTGACCTCATATGGTGGCTGGCCCATTCCAGCTCTAACTTCCAGGAATAATGATGCCAGTCACACACTCATCAAATTCCTGAAGGTGCTCTGAAGGGGTGACACAGCCAGAACAAAGAGACTCCAGCTTTTATTTATAAGGTGAGAGTGATGGATCACACTTTGTATAATCAGTTCTTCCATGCAGACTGGAGGGAAAGAAAGGAGGCAATTTTTTTTTTTTCTATCCAGGCACATCTGTGATTTTTATTTTGCATAAATGCATATGCTATACTGGCAACTCCTAGTATATAAAGATGTATATACTTCCCTAAAATGGCTAGTGGCATAGTCCAGCCTCAGGTTAGACCTGGTAGAAGTGGTTGGGCTAAGCTTTTCCCTCAAAATGAGCCCTGGGTGGTGTTGCCATTAGTGAGCAAGGCTGGGAAGTCACCTGGCCCTGTGGGAGGTGTGATCTGGGGGAAGTTCAAACTTTGTTAAGACTTTTATCTTCATTTTCAAACTTCATGGGCTAGTTTAGCTTCTTGCTATGGTGGTTTTCAGTTAATTTTTTTTTTTTAACTTTTAATTTTGTGTTAGGGTATAGCCGATTCACAATGTTGTGATAGTTTCAGGGGAACAGCAAAGGGACTCAGCCAGGTATATACACGTATCCATTCTCCTCCAAACTCCAGGAGGCAATGTATTTTTCCTCCTTTCCCTGTGGACACCTTTATTCTAAATACAAGCATCCAAGCCAGCTGTTCCTCCATCCCAAGATGTGAACCTCAAGTAGGCTGCCCACAGCACCACCCCCCAACCCCCAGCAATGGGGGTGTCCACCCTGCCTCAAGGTAACGCTGGCGAGGTGTCCCCTAACCTCACTTCCGGAGGCTCCGTTGCCCGTGTGGGATCAGGCAGTGGGCAGTGGTACTGCAGGGGATTGTAGTGATAACAAGGGCTCCTTTTACTGAGCACGTACTGCGTGCTGGCGCTCTGCTAGGTGCCGGACATAGCTTTTCTCCAGTCTTCCGTCCCCTTATAAGGAGGGACTTGGCGTACTGGCATTCCAACTCAGGTCTATGTGACTCTGAAACTCAAGAACACCCCTCCGCCTCGAGGCCCTCTCCACATTGCTAGGCACCAAGGCTTGAGTTCCAGAGCTGGCATGACTTCTCACCTGCCCTGTGATATCAGGTGACTTAATTCCTCTCTCTGGGCCCCAATTTCTTAAGCAAAATAAGGAGGTTGGATGAGACATCTCTAGGTTGCCTCTAGTTCTCCGAGTCTAGGAACACCTCTCCTCAGAAGATGTTGGCCAAAGGGCACTGGAATTCCAGTGTTGGGGATCCCAGTCCCTCTTCTGTTTGGATGGGTTGACATCAAGCTGGGGTGTGTCTCCTGGGGCCATTCAGGGCTCTGAGAAACCTCTCCTACCTTTTGGTGAAAGACCTAAAGAGAAGCTTCAAATGTGAGGTGGGAGTGGGCAGCCCAGCTATGGCATGGCTGGGGGAGTAGAGGGATCCTTGTTGTAATCTCAGGATTCCTGGGCAACCCAGTGGACCACTTTGGGTTTTTTATTTTGTTTTTGTTTTTTTTCCACCTGTGCTCATTACCTGAGTGCTTTTCTCTTTTTATTATTTTCTTTTTATTTGCTTGGCTGTGTTAGGTCTTAGTTGTGTCATGTGGGATTTTTCCTTGGGGCGCGTGGACGCTCTAGTTGTGGCACACGGGCTTCAGAATGCATGGGATTAGTTGCTCTGTGGCATGTGGGATCTTAGTTCCCCAGGGAAGGTTGGAACCCACATCCCCTGCCCCAGTGAGACTTTCTGAATCAAGGCCCAATGGGAGGTCACAGCTTAGAGGTTATCATGTCCAACCCCCTCATTTTACAGATGGAGAGACTCCGTCTCAGAGTGAATTACAGTAAGGGCTCAGGTTCCATCTCTTTTTAGTTTATTCTCTCAATCACAGGCTTTACAAGACTCCCTTTCCTGAAGGAGGAGGAGACAGAACTAAAAACAATTGAAATCTCAATTGTTGGTGATTTTTATCCAGAGATCTCTTGATTTTTCCACTCCTACCTCCTGCCTTGCCAGAAAAATATTTAATATATTTGTGAAACATCAGTGCTAGGGCAACCTCTAATCTTGGGATGACAAACCCTTGGAATTCCGGATACCTATCCCGTTTCCTGGCCATGTAGGCATCACAAGTGGCTCACTAATCTTCCCATTGAGCCCAAGTGAGGCCTTAGTTCTTTTTTTTTCTTTTTCCTGTTAAAATATTAGTTTATTTCAAGTCTTTGCTGTGCCCAGCAAATTATGTCAGTTATTTTTAATCCCAGTTAGAGACGTTTAAATTTATTTTAGAAGGATAAGTGAAACCGACCCCAACAGGGCTTGTCCATATCAGTTCATATCTCCAGTCAATCTGCATTTTGTTCTGATAAAATGTGTTTTAGAATTTTCAGCACAAGGGTAAAAGTCCCTTTAAAAATTAGATGGTAAATTGAAAGACTAATAAAGATGTTATTCTTAAAATATACGTGCTTTCTGGCACATCTTGTTTCTTACTGTGGGAATGGATGAGGGAAGGAAACATGAAGCTGGAGTGATTTAAAAGCGGTTTCCAGAAAACTCTCTTTCATTTAAAAAGTATGTTCCTTGAATGTGCACTGTGCGTCCACCCTGTACTTTTTGCAGATTTCAGCAAGGGCTAGGGCTTGTGATTTAGAAGGAAAAATTAATCCCTTCCTCACCTAGCTGTTTAACTTAATGGAGGTTTTCTCAGTTCTTTACACTGAGCTCCAGCCAGGCGTTACCACGTGATCAGAGTTGGCCTGAGGTTTTGATGCTATCTGCCTTTCCCGATCAGCTCGATGACCTCGGTCATCCTCAACAACACTGTGAACCGAGCTCTTGGTTTGTCCTGGGCTCTGTCCTGACCACCATGTGTTAAGGGTGCCATCGCCTTTAACCTTGACAACAAGCCTATGGGTAGGTCCTGTTATGATCACCCTCACGTAGGCGAAGAGACTGAAGTCTAAGGCCCCCAGGTCACTAGCGGTGGAGCCGGAAGAAGAAACCGGTCTCTCACGCAACATCCAGTCCTCTTGCAGATGGCCCAGCGCCACAGCTAAAACCTGCCACTTCCCCCCTAGACTGACTTAGTGACATCTTCCCCGTTTGTCTTTTCTAAAGGAGAAACCCCATCCTGAACTTCTCTGCTCAGCCTTTGCCTCTGCCCCCGAAGCCGCCTCTGCCGGGCCCCGGGCAGTACGAGATCGTGGACTACACGGGACCCCGCAAGCACTTCATCTCCAGTGCGTCTTTCGTGTCCAACACCAGCCGGTGGACAGCGGGGCCGTCCCAGCCAGGCCTGCCCGGCCCAGGTCAGAGGACTGCTTTCAGTGATTGTAAAAACTAAATCTGGAATTGTTTGTCATTCCTGGGCCATCAAATGCCACTGATTTATAGGCTGTTTGCCAAACACTTTACAGGGGTTAGAGTGGATAGAGAAGACTTTTCAGCTTACACTTTCAGAGTATGAAAGGTTTTTTGTTTTTTTTTTTTTAAGGTGAAAGGGCTCTTAGAGATGATTTGTAACTGAGAACCATGAATGTTCAGGGGCTTCCCTGATTGGCTCAGTGGTAAAGAATCTGCCTGCCAATGCAGGAGATACGGGTTCGATCCCTAGGTTGGGAAGATCCCTTGGAGAAGGAAGTGGCAACGCACTCCAGTATTCTTGCCTGGGAAATCCCATGGACAGAGCATCTGGTGGGCTACAGTCTATGGGGTTGCAAGAGTTGGACATGACTTAGTGACTAAACAACAACGACAACAGGAATGTTCAACAGGCACAGAGATGGGCTGTAGGGGGTCTGTGACCTTGAAGCTGTCTGCAGATTGGGAGCATGCAGACATCGTTTTCTGGGGCAAAGAGCTACAACTTTTGCCTAAAAAGCTCATGTTCTTAAAAATGTTTAAGCCATGGTTCTAATCTGATGGGGTCACTTCCCAGATGGGGAGGGCCCAGACAGTGAGGTGTCCCAGCCCAAGGAGGAGGAGTGGCAAGGCCGAGACCACCCAGACTCTCTTCCCTCGATGCCTTGTCTGTCTTGGACTAAACCAGGGCTCCACCTGAGCGGCTCTTTCAAGCCACCTAGTTCTGCTTCCTTTTATAGGTGAGCTTGAGTGGTGGGACCCTGTTACCCTCCCCCTCAAGATCTGCCTGAGAGCTGACAGCCGGGGGACGTGTTCCAGCGGGGGGTCTGCATTCCCCCCACCTACTTGTAGTTCTCAGTGGAGCTCTTTAGCCATTTACGGCGCCCACGATGGCAAAGTTGATGGCATTGGGGACTGTGCCGGTGGGCAGGTGACCTGGGAGGGGGACGGCAGGACTTCGGGGACTGCCAGGCCTGTGAAAGTCAGTCTTTCAATGAGCATCTCTGAGGCTCCCACCCTAGGGTGGCAAAGATGACTCAAGTCCAGTGCCAGGCCCCAAAAGCATCCCCATCCCTCCACACACACAGGTGAGTAAAATGTAAGGTAGACTGGACAGGGAGAATGTCATTCCCGAGGCTCTGTCCCTGGAAACATAGTGATAATCAAGCCAGTAAGATGGCAGAGGTTCGACCTTGGGCTCATCTGGTCAGTCCAGGCAGAACTCGGCTCGGTCCAGCAAGTGTACTAAGGTGCCACGTGAGTGGTGAGCGCGAGGACCCCGGGGACAGCAGGATCCTGGTCTGCCCCTGTTTTTCTTGGTCCTCTAGGAGCTTTCTCTGAGCATCTTCTCCATGCCGGTGCCTGGAGCGCAGGTGCAGGCTAGTTCATGCTGCTGTGTTCCCCTAGGCCAAGGTGGGCTTCCCCGAGGGCCCCCCAGCCTAAGCACCTGCAAACATCTGCCTTCTTGGCTTCTGTACCTTCCTAGACAGTCGTGGCTCCCATCAGCGGCTCCCTCATGAACCAAATCTGCATCAACGTAAGAGTTTGCAGTCACCCCAGGTTGTGGTTCGCAAGCCCTGCATGATCCTGGCTGCTATTGTCATGGCTTTCAGGGTTTTGCGGGGGGGGGGTTGGAAATTTCTGAACTAAATCAAAGCAAAACCCCATTAAGCTGACCCTCTGCTTCTTTAAGACTACTGTACTCCTCATTCCCCAGCCCCCCTCAAATTTTATACAAAATTCTTTTGCAAATTTTCTTCTGTTAAAGAAGCTAGTGAGTTGAAGAAGGTGGGAAACCAGAGTTTGAGTCCTTCCCAGGCCAGTCCAGAGCTGGGCGACCTTGGGCCAGTCCCTGCCTCCCTGGTTCCCCACAATGTCGGGTTCAGGGAGCCTGATCAGGGGGGTCCCGCCCTCTCTGACGCCAGGTGTCAGGGCCTTGAGGACTGGCCTTTGCTTTCTCAACACTCTCCCTCTCTCTCCACAGCCACGTACAAGCCGGAATTCCCTGGCAAGCAGTCGTTTCTCTACAATGAGGACAACAAATGGATCCCAGTGTTGTAGGCGCCGCATTCGAGCTCAAGGAGACCCCCGGCCACCCCCCCCAGGCACCCCAGAGGGTCAGCAGGGATTGTCCATCTCATGTGTGTGTGACAGCTGATGGCACAGGGTGGCCTGCCCCCTCCCTCCATCCCTGGCCTGCTGTTGCAACCGGGCTGCCATGCTTGTCCTGAGCCGCCCCGCCCCCTGGAGCGTGGAGGCCCCCCACGCACTGAGCCCCTTGGATTCCTGAGCAGAAGCGAGGGGTGAACAGAGCCCCCGCCCTCGGCCATTTCACCCTTCGCGCCCGTCCAGGCCGGCTCAGTCTCCAGCAGCTCGCGGAACTCCACCTCCAAGAGGAGGCCGCCGACGGCCGATGCCCCATCCCGAAGCCTGATGCTGAGCCAGGGCCCTGCAGCCGTGGCCCCGGCACCCTCCCATCCTTTGGCCTTTGACCTCCACATCTCTCCCAGAACTCTAGGGTCCAGGAAGGCCCAGAGACCCAGTGCCAGGGACCTGGAGGGGTTGCCTGGCCCTTGCCCCCAGCCCAGGCCTCGTGTCTCACCTCAGGAGAGCATGGCAGCATTGCTGTGGTCTTGTGAGCTCATCACCTGCCCTCAGGGGAGGCCAACCCATCTGTTTATCGGCTCTGTGCCCAAGGGGCAGGCGCAGGCGGGACCCTCCGGGGGCAGAGTCGCGGGCACAGTGGATCTGAGGGGTGCCTGTAGGTCCTTTCACCCGCTTTCCCCTTTCCTGGCCGTCTCTGTCTCCCTCACCTCCTGCTCAAGTTGAATATGACCTTTACTGAACCTTTTCAGGCCTGTCAAGTCAGTCCCCCTTGGCAAGAAAAAGGGATTCTCAAGGAACCCAGAGGAGCTAGAGTGAACCACACGCCCCTCCTTCTGTAGCCACCCCCGTGGCTTTGACCTTCCTAAGTGGAAGCCTCCTGCGCTTTCTCCTACACCTCCCTGCGTCCCCCACTTGCCCTTGACTCTCTCCTTAGACTTTGCTTCGTGACTTTTAGCTCAGAGCTGGCCACTGATGGACTCTCCTTTCAGGGAAGGGCTGCTGAGGAAGAGGGCAGAAGGAGGATGGAATAGCGCGTCCATTTAAACCGAGTTCTCATTTCTCACAAAAGCTGGCCTTGCTGTAAACCTCAGGCTCCTGGCAAGTGCCCCCACTGCTCTGGATGAGCAGGAGGCAGCCTGGAGTGTAGCCCCAGGAGCGTCCAGAATCTGAACCTAAAGGCGGGCACCTTGTGCTGCGTCCGCTCTGACCCTAGCTTCTCCTGGGGGTCAAGTTGGAGCGGAATTTGGAGGCTCAAGGTCAAGCACTTCCGGGGCTGGGTGGGCAAGGGGGGGGCAAAACAGGTGAGGCGAGAGGAGGTCCGGGAGGTGAGGCCGCTGTCCATCTAAAGGCCTGCTACCCATCTCCAGATCTGCAGATTCTTCAGGAGAACCTGGGAAATCTTAAAACCTGAAACTTCTCGATTGGAAATGTGAACAGCCTTATTTCAACTAAAATTTTTTTATTCTGGCTAATGGAAACTCTTCTGCCAGTCATCATTTGTCCACTTGGGCACTAGGAATTCTGAAAGACCCCTTCAAGGCTGACATTGAAGTCACACCTTTCTTTGACTCTTGACAATATGGCCAGAGCTGAAGGCCTTGACTTTTAGGTCCCTCTGACCCCAGGGGACCTTAGCTGGTCCCTGGGCTGGAAGCAACCAGCCCTGGGGTCCCTGCAGGCCGAGGCTGGTGGGACTGCATAGAAAAGAAGATGGGCTGCTCCTCTCAGGGACACCTGGGCTGTGTACCGGATGAGGATTGTCTCTGTAGAAACGCCTCCCAGTGGATCAGGAAAGTGGACACTCTGGGAGGAAGACTGCAGGGCCACTGTCAGGGCTGCTCTTGGCCAGGCAGAATCTGGGTTCCGCAGAAGACAGGGCTGGAGCTGAGACTCTGAGCTCTGAGGGTGTGTCTGGGTGGTAGCCAGCCTCTCTGAAGATGTTGTAGGCTGCGCACAGCTCCATCTTGCCCCGAGGTCCTCAGGCCCCAGCTGTATGGTAGGATCACTTCGGGAGCCGTTCGAGAGTCATACCACCTAGGCCTGAGCCTCACAGTTCTGATTTAACAGACTTGAGGTAGGGTTTGGGCTGTGGTATCTGTGTAAAAGTTCTTGGTGTGATTACAGAGAGTCTAGTTAGGGTTAGGATACACTGATATTTTAATAAAGTATTTTCCAAATTTTAATGTGCATGCAAATCACTTGGAGATCTTATTAAAAGTTCTATAGACCTGGGTGGGACATCCCTGGTGGCTCAGAGGTTAAAGCGTCTGCCTGAAATGCGGGAGATTTGGGTTCGATCCCTGGGTCGGGAAGATCCCCTGGAGAAGGAAATGGCAACCCACTCCAGTATTCTTGCCTGGAGAATCCCATGGACGGAGGAGCCTGGTGGGCTACAGTCCACGGGGTCGCAAAGAGTCGGACACGACTGAGCGATTTCACTTCACTTATAGACCTGGGTGGGGCTTGAGAATCTACAAATCTGTTTTTTTAATTGATATGTAATTGAAATAAAACATTGTACTAGTTTTAGGTGTGTTTCAAACAAGCTCCCAGGTGATACCGATGCCACTGGTCTGTGGACCACACTTAAAAGTACCAAAGGTCTAGTGCTGTGCTGAGTCGCTCAGTCGTGTCTGACTCTCTGCGACCCCAGGGACTGTAGCCCACCAGGCGCCTCTGTCCATGGGATTCCCCCGGCTAGAATGCTGGAGTGGGTTGCCATGCCCTCCTCCAGAGGATCTTCCCCACCCAGGGATCGAACCCAGGTCCCCGCATCGCAGACGGGTTCTTTACCGATTGAGCCCCCAGAAAGGCCCAAAGATGCAGTGAACATACCAAATTGTTGAATTCTTCATCTGGCCCTCCCTGCATTCATCCATCTGCCTGTCAGCTTACTGTCCTCCCCTCCCTTCCTCCCTCCTTCTCCTCATCTCCTCACTACTTCATTCCCTCTGAGGTCCTCATCCATCCCTTTCTCCCCTTGCTTCCCTCATTATCTACCACACAAAGCTTCCTGCAGGCAGAGGATGGCATCTCTACCAGCCACCAGCTGGCTTTATAAAGTGACCCCTCTTTGGAGAGGACTTACCTTCATCCTCTTGCCTTTTCCACCCTTTGGAGGAAAGGCAGACCCCAAATGGCTGCTGTCGGGCTCAGGAACTGCCCTTTGCTCCCTGATGGTCTCTGAGGGCAGGGCAGAATTTCCTCAAGGCTTCCAGGGTTCTCTTTGAGCTCCCAACAGCCTTCCTAAGGCACTGACTGCCTCGTCTCTATGTGTGGAGGGGCGAGCAGTGGGCCTCAGAGGCTTTGCTGGAGGCTGTGAGTGGAGGGCGTATGTGGGGACCCACTCCTGAGCTCAGCAGCAGGCTGTGCCCTGGTCCCCCTGTGTGCCTGAGTCCCTAGCAGACACTCGGTTTCAGAGGTGGCGAGGTCTGTGTAAGCACCGATCCTGCAGTGTGAGCTCAAGGCCGATGTAACTGCTGCTCTAAGCCTCTTTAAAGCAGTGGTTCTCGACCTGGAGTGCACATTGTAGTATCTGGGGGTGGGGGCTGGGGCGAGCTTTAAAGGTACTGAGGTCTGGCTCCAATCCCGGAAATTCTGATTTAGTTGCTGTAGGGTACGATCCGGGCAGCAGGGATGAAAGCTGCCGGGGTGATGAGTTCCAAGGTGTGGTCAAGGTTGAGAAGTCCACCTTCCTGTTTCCGGTGGTTCCGGAAGGAAAGGAACAGATGCTGAGCGTCTCTGGCTGGCCTGTCAGCGTGCTGACACTCCACACACACTGCGCTTTCACCCTCATGGTGATGTCGTGGCAGCAGTGAGGCCTGGTGAGCCCTCAGTGAGGGCTGAGCAGTCTGGTGAAGCATCACCGGGTCTCTCCGGCAGGGCCGGGGAAGCGGTACTGGAGTCTGAGACCAGAGGAAAACATCTGCAATACTGACACTCCCTTCAAAGTTTTGATATTTTATCTTTTTTTTTTTTTTTGGCCTTAATTTCAAAAAGCATTGCACTGGACAATGATTTATCTTGATTACTGAGCTCTCTGGCTAGGGCTAGGCCTCCCTGGCCTGACCTGAGTCCTGGCCCCAGGGCATTGGGAATTAGGAACTCTGGATTGGCTGTCAGAGCTGGAAGGCCCTTGGGGACATCCGTGGTTTTCAAACTTTTTTAGTTCAGACAAAAGTTAGTATGAGAAATTGTTCATGAAGAAAAGCAGAGCAGCTGTGACTGAAATCTGGGGAGGACACCTAAGGACTCCCTGCTGTCCCGTGCCCCACATTTTGGGGGGTTCGAGACCCACCAGTGAGCCCTGGGGCTATAAAGATGACAGCTACCTGATGACGCAGGTAGAACATGCCCCTCATTTTACAGCCAAAGAAGTTGAGGACTGTAGGGGGGAGTGTGTGGGTAAGCTGGAAGGAAGGAAGGATGCTCTGATTTGTCCCGTTCTCCAGGGGAAATGGAGACTGATTTGTAGCGCTTGTCAATTCCTGTGGCGTAAACACTCGTTCCAGCATAATGACGTTACTGACCGCAGAGCTGGGGGGAGAGGGCACGATTGAGTCTGAGCAGGTAGGAGCCGGCTCCAGGAAAAGTGAGTTGGAGAGAGCTTGGGTCCATGACTATCTGCCCTGGGCTCTGTCCACTGCCCCGCTGCAGGGGCATCCTAGGCCTCTTTCATCTCCAGAGTCAGTGACTCTGAGGTGGTGACGTCCGCCTGTGGGGCCAGAGAGGACAGCCTCCCAGGGCCCACGACGGGAATCAGGACCCTCACCCTTGCAGGGTGGCCCCGCTGGTTCACCAGGACCCAGCATTGACCACCATCTTTCAAGTCCAAGGAAACTGCTCAGAGGATAGAGGAGAGACGTCTTGTTTACTGTCACCCTTTCCTTCTGGAAGACTCTCACAAGAGGAACTAGTGTGACATTTGAAGTAATACATACGGAGAATTTTATTACTAAATAGCACATGAGTATACAAAATGCATAACTGAATAACAGCTAAAAAAATAATCCAAGAAATGTGAAATACACATTTTTTGAAATGATAAAAATGTATCCATGAAAAATATAAAATGTTGCTTATATATACAATATATACTTATATATATATAACATAAATGAAAATTGTAAATAAGAAATGTATACAACAGTGAGTGGGGATGGAGGCTGTTCCACACAGAGGCCACTTTGCCCCAGTCGATCAGCTCTGATTTCCAACCTGTGTTGAAGAAGTTAAGCCTATGTGGAGAGTGTGTCCACTACACTGTCTTTTTAAAAGTCATTTGCACTGGAAAGTCAAGTGTTTGACAGTTAACTCAGTGACCAAAGGGTGAGCACTCGTTGGCCTGAAGTTGATAGAAGAGTCAAAAGTGGGTCCAAGGGTCAAGTCGGCTTGGGGAGACAGGGCTGGCGTCCCCAACCTGAATGGGCAGCCTGAGGGCGATGGGCTGGGGAGAAGGTCTGAGGAGGAGCAAACAGGCCCCTGGGCTGGTTAACGGACACGACGTCGTCTGGCCGGAAGCTCAGAGAACGGATTCAAGCACGAGGTGGGCTTCAGATCAGGGCCCCTCCAGGGCCCCTCCGGGCCTTGATGTCTGTGGGTCTGTGGGTCGAGAGCCTCTGCAGGGAAGATGTCCAAGTAACAGCGCTGGGACCCGAGGAGAGGTCGTGTGTGGCTGGGGGCCACTGCCCAGCTGGCTCCCCACCTGCAGCCCACGTCAGGAG